ATGATGATGATGATGATGATGATGCTGATGATGATGATGGTGGTGGTGGTGATGATGATGATGATGATGATGCTGATCATGTTGATGATGCTTCTGATGATGATGGTGATGATGGTGCTGCTTCTGATCATGATGCTGGTGGTGATGCAGATGACGATGGTGATGATGATGATGATGATGTTGCTGCTGATGATGATAATGATGATGACGATTGTGGGGATGATGATGATGAGGATGAGGAGGAGGATGAGGAGGAGGAGGAAGAGGAGGAAGAGAAGGAGGCGGAGGAAGAGGAGGCGGAGGAGGATCCGCGCAGTGGCCAAGGTCACGACGCAGGAGGCTTGGGAAGGTTCCCGGCGGGCCCAGGAGCAGCCAAGATTGCAGGCTTTCCCGCGGAGGGGTGTGCGCGCCCAAGCCGGTGGTCCGCCTCCTCGTCCTCCTCCTCCTCCTCCTCCTCCTCCTCCTTCTCTTCCTTCTTCTCCTCCTTTCGCTCCCCTCGCTACCCCTCCACAGCCATGCTGGCCCAGGTCGTTCTGGCCAGAGTCAGTTCGCCCAACCGCTAGAGTCGCGCAGCCAAATACGGTATACACGCGCAGTCATGTGGGGCTCGTGGCCTGCTCTGCTGGCACCGGCCGTCGTTGCCGACCTGGCACCTGGTGTGCTGGGAGCAAGGTTTGGGTCGGGCGTCGCAATAGATAGGGGCAGAGGGGGTACGACAGCTGCTGCGTGCAGCTGGCTCCGGCCCCGCCGCCGGGCGCCCTCCTCGATACACTGTCGCCTCTGGCGCCTCGGAACGCAGCTGCGTGCGCTGCTTCGCGGGCCCCCCTTTGCTGCCCCCCCCTGTCGCCCGACCCGACAGGCCCCAACTGCTCGAGGAGCCCCTGGCGCTCCGTGTCTCCCCAGACCCGCACGGGCAGGCGGGGGCCCAGAGCGACACCTCCGCGGACGCCGCCACCGCCACCGCGACCGCCGCTGCCGCCGCCACGGCGAACAGGAGGGCCGGCACCGCCACCGCCGCTGGCGCCCAAGGTTGGCTGCGCCCATCGGCTACGCGTAAGAGTGACCCTTCGCCAGAGTGACCTTCGGTGCGGGCTCCCAGGGGTACTTCGATTGTTGAGTGCAGTGCGGCATCAGCGGCTTGCGCGCTTGGATTCTCCCTCCCAGCGTCCCACCCAGAACCGCGCACTGGTCACTCTTGCTTAGGGACGCTTTCGCGTGTGGCTGAGCCCACGCGGGGGTTGCGCGGAAGCGTCTCAGAAGCCCTGCCAGAAACCTCCCGGGGGCCGTCTGAGAAGGGACCTGCCTTCTTCGCCCCGCCGCCTTCATAGAGAGCCGCCCCCCTTCGCGCGCCCCTCCCACGTGGGCGCCGCCAAGAAGGTCAGGCCGCCCCCGCCGCCGACGCAGCCATCAGAGCGGAGACCGCCGCCGCAGCCGTCGCCACGGACGCCTCCACCGCCGCCGCCGGCGCGGAGGGGGCCACTGCCGCGTCCGCCGACGAAGCCGCCGCCGTCGGAGGCGGTGGCGTCGGCAGAGCCGAGTGCACAGATGACATGTCCATCAAACAGCTCGAAGACGCGCTTCAATTCTTCCTCCTCCGCCTCGACTACAACCAGACTCGGACTGTGCACGCAGAAACCATCGGGACGTGCCTTCTCAAGAACGAGAAGCGCCTCGCCCAGCTCGCCCCCGAGACGTTGCACGCGGTACTGACTGGCGTAATGAACCACGCCGCAAATCAAGATTGGACAGTCCGGTACTTGTTCGCCTCGAGTGTCATCATGATGGCCCCTGTTGTTTGGCGCTTCGGGGCGTTGAGCACCAAGGTGATCGAGACTTTGGAGGTGCGGTTGACGAGTGAAGATAACAAGACGATTAAAGAGTATATCCATCGAGCTTTTGAGAAACTCGAGCGTGGTCTCAAACAGCGGCGTAAAGATGGTGAGGAGATGCAGGATCGCCTCACGGGGGAAGTTGGGATCCAGGTGGAAGTCAACGATGAAGACCAAGTGTGCGTGCCTCGCGGCATCATGTTGTTTGCCGTTGACGCAACCAGGGGTGGAATTCGAGCACATCGTTGTCCAAACCGGAAAGCGTGTGGCAGCAACGGTGCGAACGACTGTTGGGATTGGACGTCCTTGCGCAGCAACTCCACCTTGAACCATACGGCGTGCGCTCCAGGCTACGATCCTACCGTTCCTGGGTGTGCCAAGTGTTTGCCAAGTTTCGGGCGAAGCCGCATAGATCCATTCACGTGTTCGAATTGCGGGAATCCTGTATTTGTCTGGGCCAAAGAGATTATGGCTTCGGGAGCCGTGTTCGCCGCGAGCCTACATTCGATCAGCGCAGGCAGGAAGGACGAACTAGGTAGTCTTCTCAATATTTTCATGTCGTTTTCATTCTCGGCTATAACGGCATCCACTTTGATGCAAGACACGGAAGCGTACGGCCAGATGGTCAAACTTATAAAAGAGTCCCGCTGGCACATGCCGACTGAAATTTTCGACGTGCCGCTGCTGATCGCCTCGGCTGGGACCGGTGGTCTCACCGACAGCCCCGATTGCATGGGTGTAGACTTCGAGGACTCTTTCGCCATCAGGACCCTGCTGGAGAGCCTTGTCCCGATGCTCCTCCTCCTGGCAGCGATAGGCGGGGAACTGGTTCGGCGTGCTTGCCAGACGTGCCGTGCCGGGGAGGTTCAAGCGGAAGTGGGGCCCATGGACGACGGTGGCCAGAATGCGGGCGGGGCGGCAAAGCAAACGTTGGAAACGGGAGCAGAGGAATACGTGAAAGAACCGGAAAAGGCGGACGAGAACGCCAAGATTCCCCAGGAGGCGTCGTCCCTGGGTGGACCAGGCACGTTGCAGGACTCCAGGCCTCCCATCAGGGGCCCGAATAGATGGGGTCGGCGGATCCCGCCGCATCCCCGAGGTATCGTCGTTGCGGCTCCATGTGGATCCCGAGGTTTTTGCCCTTCATCCAAAGTGGCGTTTTTATTTTCTGTGGACACCCCGCGTAGGAACAAGAACACCCACTCTCTTTTCACTTACACACTCACATTTTCATCATCAACATCATCATCATCAGCATCATCATCATCATCATCATCATCATCACCACATCACCATTACCTACACATTCACTCGCATTCACGCGATCATTATCATTTATTTATAACGTACTTATTCAAAGTCCCACTCACTTACCCACTTCTCCTGAATGGCTCACTCACTCACTCACTAATAAATTCCAGGCCCCCGTCCCTGAGTGAATTGCGAAGAAATCTCAAGCGGGAGTCCTTTCCCCTGTGGGGCCCGCAGCTCATGTTACTAGTCCAAGCGGGTCATCAGGACTGTGTAGCTTTCGTAATTTTTGGGTGGCCCTCAGGCTTGAAATATTGGGACGTATCAGGCAGGAACCTCGCGCCTGTGAGTGAAAGGTGAGGAAGTCTCAGGCGGGAGCCCTGTCCCTATGGGTCGCGCACTTCATGTTCGAATCCGAACGGGTTATTGGAAACTTGTAAATGTCGTCGCTCTCGAAATCCTCAGGCCCGAATTTGTAGAAGTCTCAGACGGGAGCTTCCTCTGTGAGTCAATTGCAAGGAACTCTCAGGCGGGAACCCCTTGTTTTTGGGTCCCGCACGTCATGTTCGAATCCGAGCGGGTCATCGGAAACCTGTAACTGTCGTCCCTTTCGGGCTCCTCAAGATTGAAGCATGAGGAAGTCTCAGACGGGAGCTTCGTTTGCGAGTGAATCACGAAGGCATCTCAGGCGGGAGCCCCTTTCTCTATGGGAGCCCCATGTCCATCGTGGAATCCGAGCGAACCGCCAGGACTGCGACGGGACGATCGTGCAGCTCCATCTGCGACAGGGCGCCGAAGGCGCCGCCGACGACGGCCATGCCGAGGCGCGGGCGCGGAGCTTGCTGATGTTCAGGCCCCGCAAGCAAGAATTCACGTGGCAGAACTCGCGGCCGCACGCCGTGCGCCGCCCGGGGGTCACCATGACGCACGCGCTCTTCCTCACCTCCGCGCTGTCGCAAGGCCCAACGTTGCGCAAGGGCGTCACCGTCGACTGCGCGAGAGACGAGGACGCTGGCCGCACTGGCATGTCGTGCGACCAGTGGTGGCTGCATCTCTACGTTATGTTCTCCCGCGCCACGCGCATGCGGAGAGTGCTGATCCTGCGGCCGCCGCCGCGAGAGTTCCTGGAGCGAAGGCCGCCGGCGTCCTTGCGGAAGGCGCTCCTGGAGTTCGACGAGAGAGCCGAGAGCTCCAAGGCAGAGGCGGAGCACTTCGCGGTGCAGCTGGGCTTGGTGCTGCCTCCCGCCTGAGCGCGGCTGCGCCCTGCTCGGAATGCGCGGGGTTGTCCCAACGGTCTGGTCTCGCGCGCCAACGGCTCGCGGGTTGCCCCGACGGCCTGGCCCGCGGGGTTGCCCCAACGGTTGCGCAACGTGGCCATTCGACAATGCGCCCGTGCTCGCGGAGGCGGCGACGGTGCTGAGGAACATCGGCATGCGCACTCATGCCAGGAGGAAGGAAATGCGCGCAAGGAAGGAGAACGGGAAGGGTGGCGATGAGGAGGGGGAAAAGGAGGAGGTGGAGGAGGAGGAGGGGAACGACGAGGAGGATGGGGAACATGAGGTGGAGAGGGATGAGGAAGAGGCGGAGGAGGAGGAAGAGGGGGAGGGGGCAGGAAGAGATGATAAGAAATGCGACGAGTAGGACGAGACGGAATTTGAAAAGGAGGATGAGGAGAAGGAGGGGGATGCAGAGGGCGGAAGGAAGGTCTCCGCCAGTCGAAAGGGTGAGGGGCAAGCTACATTTATTTTCGTGTGGGGTCCTACCGTCGGAATATTTTTTGCACGCCGACCTCGCCGATGCAGTCCGATCCTCTGAGACGATCTGCTCGGGCCTGATTCGGGAGTCCTCTAAGGACGTTGGCTTGCAGGACATGGAGGTGCAGAATCGGATGCCCGTCAAGATCATGCACATATCACTGACATTTACCAACCTCTTTCTACCTGGTATTTTCGCGAGCGCCCTGCTGCAATGGCCTTGTTTTCACACGCAAGCGGTGCATCAGGATTTCAGATGGTACAAGGAATCGCGCCGCGCGTGGGATCCAGGGGAACAGTGTCCGAGCGTCTACACTGTGACAATTGTGATTGGCGCCTTTGTCGCATTTGTGATTGGGCCTGTGATGGGACCGGCGTTCTGGGCGTATCTGATTGCCAACATGGACCAGTTGCCCCAGCGGTCGCTCGACTTCATGGTTGCTCCTTATAAGGAAGAAAGCAAGGCTTGGGAGGTCACCGTGCTGATGCGGAAGATGGCTTTGGTGGCCTTGGCAGCCATAGCGCCAAAAACTTACGCTTCCGCGAGCTACGCCACCTTTGCCGTGGCCATCATGGGCATCGCGCTCGCAGCCCACTTGTACTGGCAGCCGTACAAGAGCAATTTGCTCAACAGGGTCGAGGGCATCTCACTTTTTGCCACGTTCACGGCTACGGTGCTGACGAACTACGTTGTTGCTAGGGAGTGGAGCCATACGCTAGTCCACCAGATCATTGCAGTCGTCCTCGTCTTTGCACTGCTGCTTATGACCCTTCTGCTGTTGCTGAGCCTCTTTTTCTACGGGTGTTGTCAAAAGCTGCTAGCTTGGCTGAGCTCGGTGAGGCATGACCTGAGCCTTGTCCCGTAATGCTGCGTCATCTTTTTCGCTGCGCTCGTTCCCGGCCTCACCGCGGTGTTCGTTTATTGTTGCATTTTTTCGCTACGTCGGATCTCAGGGTCGCCGGGCCCTAAGCCGGTCAAAAGACGACTCAGCATGCAAAACTGGTCCGGGGGAATGGTTCGAGACTTCTGAGGGCCCCGTATGGAAAAAAAACACGACGTCGGATCTCCAACCTCCTCCCTCCTCGCTGCCTGCGCCTTTTGCGGGGGCCGTTGCTGCTTGGCTGTGGCCCTCACCTTCTCTCCGCGGCAACCTCGGCGGGGGATGGGCTCCAGGGGGGGGGGGGATCTTTCGGCCCCCCGTCGCCCGATGGGGGCCCTGATGGCCCGCCCCACCCAGGAATATGCGGATTCGCCCACTGGGGCCCACCGCCGATCTATCGGCGATGTGCCGCCGATTCCAGGTCGATGCTGGAGGAGGAGGAGGAGGAGGAGGAGGAGGAAGGAGGAGGGGGAGGAGGGAAGGAGGAGGAGGAGGAGGAGGAGGAGGAGGAGGAGGAGGAGGAGGAGGAGGAGAGGAGGAGGGAGGAGGAGGAGGAGGAGGAGGAGGAGAGGAGGAGGAGGAGTAGGAGAGGAGAGGAGGAGGGAGGAGGAGGAGGAGGGAGGAGGAGGAGAGAGGAGGAGGAGGAGGAGGAGGAGGAGGAGAGGAGGAGGAGGAGGGAGGAGGAGAGGAGGAGGAGGAGGAGGAGGAGGAGAGGAGGATGAGGAGGAGGAGGAGGAGGAGGAGGAGGAGGAGGAGGGGGAGGGGGGAGGAGGGGGGAGGAGGAGGAGGAGGAGGAGGAGGAGGAGGAGGAGGAGGAGGAGGAGGAGGAGGAGAGGAGGAGGAGGAGGAGGAGGAGGAGGAGGAGGAGGAGGAGGAGAGGAGGAGGGAGGAGGAGGAGGAGGAGGAGGAGGAGGAGGAGGAGGAGGAGGAGGAGGAGGAGGAGGAGGGAGGAGGAGGAGTGAGGGGGAGGAGGGGAGGAGAGAGGAGGAGGAGGAGGAGGAGGAGGGAGGAGGAGGAGGGAGGTGGAGGAGGAGGAGGAGAGGAGGAGGAGGAGGAGGAGGGAGGAGAGGGGAGGAGGAGGGAGGAGCAGGAGGAGGAGGAGGAGGAGGGAGGAGAGGAGGAGGGAGGAGGAGAGGAGGGAGGAGGAATTCCCCCCTGGGCTGGCCACCTGCTGGTCTTCGGGCCGCGGCTCGGGGGCCTCCGGCGGCTGGCCGAAACGATTTTATGGCAACCCTCCGGAGCGCTCTCGGCGAGGCGCAGCCGCTGGAAAGGCATCCCGAGGCAGCAGAGGCCGCCGAGAACCCACGAGCTTCGGCATCGTTGAACCGAGCCCCATCCCCATCCCCATCCCCTTCGAGACCCCCACCTAATTACCACCCCAGTTGGGGATGCACCCGTCGAAACCCGAAGGGGACGGCCTATATCCCCATCTAGGGGGGTAAATCGGCCAGTGGGGCCCAGGCCACGCCGCTGGGGATGGGGATCGGTTGAACGATACTCACAGCTGCCCCCGCCCCCCACCGTTGCCCCTCATCACTGCTCTGGTGCCGCCCCGCCCGGCAGCGGCGAGTTCTCTCAAGCGCGGGCCGGGCTCGGCGCTTGCTCTGCCCAGGCGGCCCTCTGGGGACGCAGGTGGCCCGGCGAGTGGGCCAGCTGGTGAGTGTTGCGTCAGCTCTGGCCTTCCCACCGACCGTCCCCAGACGTTCGACACCCTCGCGCCGCGGAAAAATCACGACGGGAGGTTCTTGATGATTTCCGGCCCCTGCAGGGGGGCCCTTGCCCGGCCTCAGGACCGTCGCGAAGCGGCTCGGGATGAAATGCCGAGCCCAGGAAGCGCGGAAAACTTATCATTTGCGCAAGAACGTGCACCATCATTTAGATCAATTGCAACATGGGCGCATTCCGGACGACGATGGCGACGGCGGCGTAGACGACGGCGGCGGGGGCGGCGGCGGCAGCGGAATAATTATTTGCCTACCGGTGTGATCTCGCACTGCTTTATTTCGACCGACCGTGCGCTCTGCTGGTGGTCCTGCTGGTGGTCGTGCTGGTGGTCCTGCTGGTGGTTGTGCTGGTGGTTGTGCTGGTGGCTGTGCTGGTGGTCGTGCTGGTGGTTGTGCTGGTGGTCGTGCTGGTGGTCGTGCTGGTGGTCGTGCTGGTGGTTGTGCTGGTCGTCGAGCTGGTGGATGCGCTGGTGGTCGTGCTGGTCGCTGGTAGTGGTTGTGCTGGTGGTTGTGCTGGTGGTCGTGCTGCTGGTTGTGCTGGTTGTCGTGCTGGTGGTTGGTGGTGCTGGCTGGTCGTGCTGGTGGTCGTGCTGGTGGTCCTGCTGGTGGTCCTGCTGGTGGTCGTGCTGGTGGTCCTGCTGGTGGTTGTGCTGGTGGTTGTGCTGGTGCTGGTGGTCGTGCTGGTGGTTGTGCTGGTGGTCGTGCTTGCGGAGGTGCTGGTGGCCGTGCTGGTGGCTGGTCGTGCTGGTGGTCGTGCTGGTGGTTGTGCTGGTCGTCGTGCTGGTGGTTCTGCTGGTGGTCGTGCTGGTGGTTGGTAGTGGTTGTGCTGGTGGTTGTGCTGGTGGTCGTGCTGCTAGTTGTGCTGGTTGTCGTGCTGGTGGTTGGTGGTGCTGGCTGGTCGTGCTGGTGGTCGTGGTTGGTGGAGGTGCTGGTGGTCGTGCTGGTGGTCGTGCTGCTGGCCCGGTGCTGTTGGCTGGGCCTGCTGCTCTCCCTTGTGCTGGTGGTTGTGCTGCTTGTCGTGCTGGTGGTCGTGCTGGTGGTTGTGCTGGTGGCTGGTCGTGCTGATGGAGGTGCTGGTGCTCGTGCTGGTGGTCGTGCTGGTGGTCGTGCTGGTGGTTGTGCTGGAGGTCGTGCTTGTGGAGGTGCTGGTGGCCGTGCTGGTGGCTGGTCGTGCTCGTGGTCATGCTGGTGGTTGTGCTGGTCGTCGTGCTGGTGGTTCTGCTGGTGGTCGTGCTGGTGGCTTGGTAGTGCTGGAGGTGCTGGTGGTCGTGTTGGTGGTCGTGCTGGTTCTTGTGCTGGTGGTCGTGCTGGTTGCTGCCCGTGCTGGCGGTCATGCTGGTGATCGTGCTGGCCCCCCGCTCCTTCCCTGCGCCCCCCTCCCCTTGCACTCGTGCTCCCCCCACCCTGAACCTCCACAAGCGCCCTCCGCCGTGCTCCCCCCGCCCTCGCTGGTGGTTGGTAGTGCTGGATGTGCTGGTGGTCGTGTTGGTGGTCGTGCTGGTTCTTGTGCTGGTGGTCGTGCTGGTGGCTGGTCGTGCTGGCGGTCATGCTGGCGGTCGTGCTGGCCCCCCCCCTCCTTCCCTGCGCCCCCCTCCCCTTGCACTCGTGCTCCCCCCACCCTGGGCCTCCACAGACGCCCTCTGCCGTGCCCCCCCGCCCTCCCCGGGCCCCCCTCCCCTTGTTCCTTCTGTGCGCCCCGTCTCCCGCTCCTCCCCTGCGCGCCTGTCCCGCCCCCGTGCCCCCCCCACCCACCCCGGGCCCCCGCGCCTTCTCCCCCGTGCTTCTCCCCGCGTTCCCCGAGCCCCCCTTCTCTTATTCCGACCGTGCGCCCCCCCTGCCTGCTCCTGCCTCTGCGCCCCCCCCTCCTTGTCCCTGAGCCCCCTCCACCCTCCCCACGCCCCGCGCCCTGTCTCCCGTGCCCCCCCCGCTCTGCCCGGGCCCCCCTCCCCTTATTCCGAACGTGCGCCCCCCCGCCGCTCCTTCCCTGCGCCCCTCTCTCTTTGCCCCCGTGCTCCCTCCGTGCCACGCTCCCCGGCCCCCGCGCCTTCTCCTCCGTCGTGCTCCCCCCGCTCTCCCCGGGCCTCCTGCCCTAATTCCGACCGTGCGCCCCCCCCTCGTCCCCCCGCTCTCCCCTGCGCCTCCCTCCTCTTGCCCCCGTCCTCCTCCGACCCTCCCCGCGCCCCCGCGCCCTTCCCCCCGCGCTTCCCCCGCCGTCCCCGGGCCCCCCCCTCCCCTTTCCCGACTTTGGTGAGCGCCCCCCGCCGCTCCTCCCCTGCGCCCCTCTCTCCTTGCCCCCGTGCTCCCTCCACGCTCCCCGGACTCCCGCGCCTTCTCCTCCGTGGCTCCCCCCCGCTCTCCCGGGCATCCTCCCTCATTCCCGAACCGTGCGCGCCACCCGCCGCTCCTCCCCTGCCCCTCTCTCCTTGCCCCCGTGCCGCCCTCCACGCTCCCCGGCCCCCCGCACTTCTCCTCCGTGCTCCCACCGCCGCCCCGACCCCCCACTCCTTATTCCGACCGTGCGCCCACCCCTCCTCCCCCCCGCTCTCCCCTGCGCCTCCCCTCCTCTTGCCCCGGTCCTCCTCCCATCCTCCCCGCTCTCCCCGTGGCCCGCTCCTCCCCTTATTCCGACCGTGCGCCCACCCGCCGCTCCTCCCCTGCGCCCCTCGCTCCTTGCCCCGGTGCTCCGTCCACGCTCGCCGGCCCCCGCGCCTTCTCCTCCGTCGTGCTCCCTCCGCCGCCCCCGAGCCCCCCCACTTCTGATTCCGACCGTGCGCCTCCCCCCTCCTCCCCCCGCTCTCCCCTGCGCATCCCTCCTCTTGCCCCCGTCCTCCTCGCACCCTCCCCGCGCCCCCGCGCCCTTCTCCCCCGTGCTTCCCCCGCCGTCCCCGGGCCCCCCTCCCCTTGTTCCAACCGCGCACCTGCCCCCCTGCTCCTCCCGTTCGCCCCGCTCCCTTCGCCCCGTGCCCCCCCCGCGCTCCCCGAGCTTCCGCGCCTCCCCCCCGGCGCTCCACCCGCCTTTCCCGAGCCCCCCCACCCTTATTCCGACCGTGCGCCCCTCCTCTCCCGCTCCTCCCCTGCGCCCCTCTCCCCTTGCACCCGTGCTTCCCCGGACTCCCGCGCCTGCTCCTCCGTGCTCCCACCGCCCTCCCAGGGCCCCCCTCCCCTTATTCCGACCGTGTGCCCTCCCCCCGCTCCTCCCTTCCACGCTCCCACCGTCCTCCCCGGGCACCCCTCCCCTTATTCCGACCGTGCGCCCTCCCCCCGCTCCTCCCCTGCGCCTCCCTCCTCTTGCCTCTGTGCCCCCCGCCTTCCCCGGGCCCCCCTGGCCTGTCCCCCCGCTCCTCCCCTGCGCCCCTCTGCCGTTGCCCCCGTGCTCCCCTCATTCTTCCCAGGCCTCCGCGCCTTCTCCCACCGCCCTTCCCGGCCCCCCCCCCTCTTTTTCCGACCGTGCGCCCTCCCCCCGCTCCTCCCCTGCGCCCCCCTCCTCTTGCCTCCGCGCCCCCCATCTGCCCAGGTGCCCCTTCCCCTTATTCCGACCGTGCGCCCTCCCCCCGCCCCTCCCCTGCGCCCTTCTCCCGATGCCTCCGTGCTCCCCCCATGCCCCCCAGGCTCCCCCGCCCTGTCCCCCGTGCCCCTTCCGCCTTCCCCGGGCCCCCCTCCCCTTATTCCGAGCGTGCGCCCCCCTCCGCCGTTCCTCCCCTGTGCTTGTCTCCTCTTGCCCCCGTGCTCCCTCCACGCTCCCCGGGCCCCCGCGCCTTCTCCTCCGTGCTCCCCCCGCCGTCCCCGAGCCACCCTCCCCTTATTATCATGCCCGCCGGTGTGATCTCGCACTGTATTTTTTCGACCGACCGTGCCTGGAATGTGTTGGACGCGCCCTGGATGTGCGAAGAGATGTGTCCTGGACTGTGAACGCCGGGGTGTGTCCTGTCTCTGTCTGCTGGGATGTGTGCCTGGAATTTGCTCGGCGTGCCCTGGGGTGAGCGAAGACATGTGTCCGGGAGTGTGAACGCCGGGGTGTGTCCTCTCTCCGTCTGCTGGCCTGCGTGCTGGGATGTCTGCTGTCTGCGCGCTGCTCCGACCATCTGTGTTGGCATGCGTGTCGACATGTCAAAGTCAAAGGCTGTCCCCGTCCCATAGCCTTTTCGCCCTCCCTCCACGAGCCCCCCACCGCGGCTTCTTCCGACCGACCGCGCCCCCGCCCCCTGTCCTCCGTGCCCCCCCCCGCGGCTTATTCCGACCGACCGTGCACCCTCCCCTCTCCCTGTCCCGCGCCCCTCTCCTTGTCCTATTCCGACCGACCGTGCCCCCCTCCTCTCCCTGTCCTCCGCCCCCCTTCTCGTCCCCATTTCCCTTTCCCTCGCCTCGCCTGGCTTCTTCCGACCGACCGTGCCCCCCCCCCTTTCCCTGTCCAGTGCCTTTTTCCCGTCCCGTGGCCCTTTTGCCTTTCCCCCTCGCCCCCCTTCTTTATTCCGACCGACCGTGCCCCCGCCCCCGCGCTCTCCGTGCCCCCCCCCCCGGCCAATTCCGACCGACCGTGCTCCTCTCCCCTCTGCCTGCCCCGTTCCCCTGGCTTCTTCCGACCGACCGCGCCACCCTCCTCTCTCTGTTTTCCGCCCCCCTTCCCTCCCCATTTCCGTCCCCCCTCGCCCCCACCCTTACTTATTCCGACCGGCCGTGCCCCTTCCCCTCTGCCTGTCCCGTGCCCTCTCCCCGATCCCCCCCATGGCTTATTCCGTCCGACTGTGACCCCCCCCTCCTCTCCCTGTCTTCCCCCTCCCCCCCTCTCCATTTCCCTCCCCCCTCGCCCCCCCTGTCCTATTCCGACCGACCGTGCCCCCTCCCCACTCCGTGTCCTGTGTCCTCTCCCCACGAGCCCCCCCCTGGCTTATTCCGACCGACCGTGCCCCCGCCCCTCCGTCCTTTGTGCCCCCTCTGGCTCATTCCGACCGACCGTGCCCCCTGTCCGTGCCCCCCCATTTCTTATTCCGACCGATCATGCCCCCCTCCTCCCCCTTCCCTCTAATTCCCCTTTTCTTTATTCCGACGGACCGTGCCCCCCCC